AACCCAGAAATTGTTGACGTAAAATGAATTTCATCGGCTTGTTGATGTTAGAACCGATGTTCATACGACTGAAATAATTACGGTTGTCGAAAGGCAGACAACCGAGCTACCGACAATCTCGAACAACCTCAACAATCTTGCGATCAGTAGTTCTAGTCACGTTTCGTAGTATTTTCCCCTATGGATCAACAAATCTACGAGTCGGGCGGAGTTTACGGACATTTACCATTTCCGCGTCAGATGAAGGGATTGATAGTATTGCGGTGAATCTTGTCCGCTGGCGATTTTAATTAACGGCCGTTGCGGTTTAAAGGAGCAAGCCCCGCAACTGGTCATATCTCTCTGGACGTTTACGTCGATGGAAGATAGACAGGTGCGTTTACGGGCGGCGAGTTTTAATTAATGCGCCACTCTTTCACACAGCATTCCCCGTTCGGTAGAAATGCTCGCTGCACAAGCTATGTCGAGGAAACTTATTTCTGTCGCATTACAAACAGATACATCTTGTCTTTCAACAGGGTACTTCTATTCGGAACGACGATTTTATTATTATTGTTCATTATTGGAATGCGCGGATTTTACGCATTTATTAGAAAACTGAGTACAGTAATTTCTCTCTAATTCGCGCTCAGATTGATCACAAAAATGAATAATTTGGGAAGAGGAGATACAATTATTCGAGCCTTGCAGTTCGATTTTATAGTCACCTATTGTCAAGAACTATAAAAACAAGGCGCGAGACTCGAATAATAGTATCTCCTTTTCCCAAATTGTCTATTTTTGTGCGCAATGTGAGCGCGAATTAGGAAGAAATCACTGTACCTGTAATTTTCAAGAGAAGTAAGAATGAACGTATTGAAGAGTGCCGTTGTACTGCTTCTGATTTATTATATAAGATGTTCCAGCTAAAGGTGACCATCTAAATATCTCTGTTATTTTTAAAGATATTGCAAAATTTGGTGAACAGAAGTTATTCAGTTCAGGGAGATCTATAATGTAGTGGTAATCATTTTTTTCTGACTGGATAATTTTCGAATATTTCAAGTCACCTCCATTTTTCTAACTATGATCGTATATTTTTTTTATACATTTGTGGATGCAGCTTTACATTTTCTATAAAATAAGTATTGACGAATAATTAAAAAAATTGTCGAATAATAACATGATATTTATGTGACGTTAGTATGCTTCCGTTTAGGTAAGGGCAGGTGCCACAATGCTAGGAAATAATCAAACGAACGATCGATTCCAGCATGTGATGGAATAAAAAATAAAAAAAAAATGGCTTGTTAAGAATCCTCTCGCGTATGAGCTTCATAAATATTTTATTTTAACTCACTTGTATTTACATTTATTTATACAACATCAAATTACTGCTGATGAAAATCATAAATATTCAATGAACTTATTCTATTGAATTGTTGGTAACGTTTCAACTCTTTCCAAAGTAACATATACTAAAAACATATTATTTTCTTCAATTGCAATATATATTATTTCTATTTAGTTTTTATTCAAGTCATTTTAAGTAATTTTATCGGAGATTTAAAATCAATTTCATAATGAATGAACATTAGTTAAGTATGAATGTTATTCTGTTCGTCAAAGTCGAAATAAAATTCTGTTCTCTTGTTATTAATATTTAAACATTAAGGTGAATATAAATACAAAATTCATATAAATCTTTGTTCACTT